CTGCGGTCCTCTGGTCCTCTGGTCCCGTGGTCCTTTGGTCCCTTGGTCCTGTGGTCCTCTGGTTCCCTGGTCCCTTGAAGCCTTGCAAATATAGCAAAGGGCAATTTTTGTTTGATCCTTATTAATTGTTTTTTGATCCTCGGGTTCTATTTTTTTTATCCTTATTAATTGTTTTTGATCCCTCACCCTCAGTAGGCTCTGCCTGCACGATCCTGCATGCGGTTCCGTGCTCGAGTGTCGAGAGACCACTGCCCAGTGAGAATTACATGTGTGTCTGATTGCAGGCATGTGGCTGTCAGGTCTAATGTCTCCTGACTGCCAGAATATGAGATATACAGCCGTCGGGGCTTCACTGAGGATTTCTGACAGCCACGAGTGTTAACAAGGCGAATTTAAGTCTGGTCTCGCAAGATTACACGTTGAAGCCGGGTATGCTTTTGGAGCCGCCCGAGGCATGGTTTGCCTTACTTTCTGGGGTGATACCATCTGCGTCCTGCTGCGAAAAGTGCTGGAGCAGGACTGCATAGTTGTTCAATATGTGCGACCGGTAGCTGCGATGAGCTGATGAAGGAAAATTCAGTGGCGCCGAGTCCATTCTCCGACCTTAAGGATTTCGGACTCGCCACTGATCACCATGCCAGCGCAGAGAGCCAATCATGCCCTGTTTAGAGGAGTGGTGGGTACGAAAGGCGAGGGGGTTCAAGAGTCGTGATGATGGCGTGAACCGTTGCTCGGCTGCGAGCTTCCATGGACCCTTTGCTCTGAATGTTTGTGACGACTTTCGCTTCGAGGTATGATGATAAGAAGCCTGGCTGCAGTTTCGGTTAGCACAGGGGTCTTGCAATGGTTGCATGTTGACAAATGGCAGTGTTCGCAACTGTCGTGCTTGTAGCTCGACCGACTTCGTGCAAGGCTGGGACAGGATGCAAAGCAACTGTCAGGTGGGTAGCCTTCAAACTATCGTGACTGGCTGCAACTATCTGCAACTTCATGTGGCAGGTCGAGTTGGATGAGCTCACCAAAGTGTGTGTTCTCGGGAAAGGTGCATATGGCCAAGTTTGTCTGGTCGAGGAGCCGGTCAATAATTTTAAGCATGGATCGCGGCAAGAACCATGCGTTCTAAGCTTTGCCCATTCTTCCGCCACCGCACCAGGACTCGATGCGCGGACAGCGTTACGCGCTGAAGGCGCTGTCGAAGGGGCACGTGGCGAAGCAGGCACCGTATCCACACATGCAAGGCAGAGCATGTCGGCCATCTTAAATCTGAAATTTGGCCAGATTTTGCCAGGGCACGCAGCGGTTGGTCAATGGTGAACGTGGCTCGCGTGCAGTCATTGGCAGCTGAGACCGTTCTGCTCGAAGTATCTCGAAGGGACATTCAAACAACGTACGCCGTGAAAGATGTAAGTGATGCTTCTCAGGGAGTTGCTGGTGTTGTCTCCGGCTTTCTTGACCCTGCAGCACGTGCTAGTGACGCATGTACTGGCCAGGCGCTTCCCCACGTCACATTTGCATGCAGGTGAGATACTGTCTATGATTGACAGCAGCTTTGTCATCCGACTGCATCGGCACCTTCGCAGCATGTCGTACTGCCTCTGCTTGCATGAACACGAGAGGAGTTATTCACAAAAGGGCGGGAGAAACTCAGAGACCTTGGACCGTCCCCCCTCCACGGCGCTCCTTTCTCCCCGTCTCCGGTGCAGGCTCTAGCCCATGGGAGCGCAAAGCTCTAGGCTGAAGAGATACGCGAGAAACACCCGCACAGCGTTAAGTGGGCTGCAAAGTTGCAGGGTTCCAGGTCGAAGGCCTCTTGCCTTCGAGGAACAATATACAGGGCCTCTGATTTCAGTTTATTTTGTTTGTATATTCTAGGGGCTGCGCCCACGGGCGGGCAGTGCAGGTAGCAGCCCGGAGCAAGGCCACGCACCCCCCCTCCGCCGAACCCCCTGATGCTGATGATGCGCACCCTTTGGGGGCTTCCGCAACCCAATCAAAAATTTGCAAAACATCGCCTCGCGCTGAGTGGGCGGTTGCGAGCGCGCCGACTCATGATGCTCGCCGGCTGGCCTTCCGCAGGCGAAGCCCGCCATTTTCGAACTGTTTTGCGCTTGTTTGGGGTAGCCATGGGTAGCCACCAAAGGGCGCGCATCACGAGCATCAGCGGCCCCAGTCAGGGACCCAAGGCGCGCCTCCGTCCTTGCTAAATGTTGTTCTACATGTAGATGGTTTGCGGTTTGAAGCTCAAGTTTATGTCTGCTTGTCCGGGTTGCTACCTGCGCTGCCGGCAGCCCCTAGAATCGGGCAGCGCTCGGTCCCCAAGCACATGCATGCGTCCTCTGGCTTTGCTTTTGCAAAATGCGCGACCGGCAGTGCCGCCGACCCTGCATACCCTGCTTCATCGGACCCTCGTTTTTCCACCGGGCTGCGCGGCACCTCGTCACCTCGCCCGGAAGCCTTTCGGAACACGCACGCGTTTCGCAGCCATTCCCCAGGCTACGGGTGGGGTCGGCGGCACTGGCGGTCGCGCCTTTTGCTAAAGCAAAGCTAGCAAGCTACAGCTCGGCTGAGCCTCGGACTGCGCTCGGGGACCGAGCGCTGCCCGACTTTTGGGCTGACGCCGCTGCCGCCGACCCCGACAAGCAACGGCGTCCCCATTTAGCTCGAGAATCATACATAGCAGAAATTGAGACAGCAAGTGGCAGGAGCCTCCAACGTTTCGGCTCTCCAGCCAACTGGTGCAAGTCGATGAGCAGGGGGTAGGGGAGGAAGGCTAGGAGGGGAAGTACCGGAGGAGTAGAGAGTGCGGAGAAGGTGTAAGGGTCAAGGGCGCGGGTGGGGGGGTGGGGGGAGGAGGGACACGGAGGGAGGTACCTAGAGGGGTACAGGCAGGCTGCTGACGACAAGCTGAGGAGTGGGGGAGGAGCGGTCAAGCGAGGAGGGTAAGGTAGTAAGGGACAGGGGGCACAGGCGTGGACCTTTTTGGCGAACACAAGGCGTATTTGCATCATTTCTGAACTGCACAAAAAAGGAACCTTTTGTTTTAGGGGGGTGAAAGGAGGTACAGGGTGCGTAGAAATAGGGCAGGGGCAGGAGCGTGGGGAGGGTGTAAACGAGACCTGCCATGCAAGCGGCTTCCCGGTGCTCGCCTCCGCAAGCGGGGTCGGCAGATCTTGAGGGGGGTCATGTTTTTAGGACCTTTTGGGCATGAGGGGTTTGGGGCTTGCGGATTAAAGGGTGCAGCGCAGGCTTAGGGCCGATTCGGGTTCAGGATGCAAGCCTGTTCTGGGTTAACTACGGTGCCGGCTGCCAACATTGGGTTAACATCATTATGTCATCCAAGAAAATAGCAGCGGCAGCAATGCCAAATCCAACAAGTGCGGCCAGCGCAGTGTTTTGCAACACCAACCAGCTTGGGCGTAGAAGTCTCACTTTCATTTCGCACAACCCAGTCAGAAGATGTCACATGTCAGCACTGCCCACGTCAGAATCGCCCCATTCATCGACATCCCTGAGAGATCGTGATCACCCTTCTCTCGCTCTTTTAAAGCATGCCTGTGTCGGTATGATGTATAAGACATGCCCAATCCTTCTAGGGTTAATAAGGGCGGTTGCCTCAGGCGCTGATTCCTTCCGATCCTCCTTGCTATGGAGCAGGACCGCAAACAGCCAGGCATGTGGCAGCACCCCCACAGAGACACCTACTAGTATCAGAAGTCAAAGACACGAAAGCGCGAAAGATTGCATAGTAGGCGCCGCAGGAGCATGGGATGCATTGCTCAGAATAAATAAAGTGCGCAAGCTTGATTGATTCTGCGGCTAGGGGCTCCGATCAGCCGCATGGTGTTCGCGAACTACAGGGGTGTTGCTTCGCAGCTTTTGCCATACTTTTGATTCGGCCTTGCGATGCAGCTTGTGACAGCCAGTTCTATCTGCCTACCGGTTGATTCAAACAAAGCGTCGATGGATTGGTTTCGGCAGCTTTCGGGGGCCTTCAGCGACGCGTGTGCGTAACATTCGGTTTGCGATCACCATGGGCGCGCCCTTCATCTTAGGTGGAATTCGCAAACAACCATCTGCAAATAAAGCAACTTGCGTGCGCTGCGCGGTCATCTGCAGGCTGAAGGGTGTTGCCTTAGAGAATGCTAGGGGGGGGGCAGGAAGGACCCGACCGGAGCGAGACGGGGAATACTATTCCCCGACACAGCGAAGAACAACATGCAGCATAAACGCTGTAGGTGGGCACCTGAGGACGGCTTGAACACACACAAGCCGCTTTCTCCAGCTGATTTATCACAGCTCAACCAAAACCATGCAATCAATGTTTTAGGGTGCCTGTGCCAATGTGCAAGATATTTGATGCTTCTTGCTTCGAGAATCCAAGGACGTACAAGGATGCTCAACACGTGTATTTCCTCTTGGAAGCGGCGCTGGGTGGTAGCTTGGTGCAGGCGAACTCATTTGCACATTTAAGGGCCTTTGGGGGTTTTGTCATTCCAATGGCTCGTGGCATTCCAATGGCTTGCCGCCAGGTGGTCAAAGACCACCCAGAGATTTTCGTGCAGGATGCACCACGAGGCATTGGAACTTTTGCACCCAGGGTACTGTTGAGTCTGCAACCAACATGGCCACAATCTCCCCCCCTGCTTTTTGGGATTCCGCATATTGGCAGCTCAAGGTACTGGCATGGATCATTGCGACAACCACAGCACTCGCAGGGAGAATGTCGCAGGAACTCATAAAGATCAAATCAGACGGACCCGCAAGAAGGAACTTTCATCGACGAATCAGATGAAGCAAGTCAGAAAGAAAGGTCATAGCTAACCAGCATCTATTCATCCGACAGCATCCCGCTGACATGTTTGCTTGTCACTGAGGCATTAAGAATTCTGGGGTTCAGGACAGATTAAACGGGGAATATTACAGTTACGTCGCATGTTATCGGACTTGAGTTCTGTAAATAGAACGGCGAAGTTTCTTAATTAAGTGGAGGGCGGCCAAGCCCCCTAAGCCGCAGAGCTAGTATGACAGCGCTGTTTAAAATCGTAGTATAAACAAAAGTTTAACTCCGCCCCTCCACCCCTCCAGTCGCCTCCACCCCTCCACCCCTCCACACCCCTACCCCCTCTACCCCTCAACCATCCCCACCTTCGCCAGCCTCAACCCTCTACCCTCCACCCTCCTCCCCTCCACACCCATCTCCACCTCCGTGCCTCCCTCCGCCCCATTTTCCCTCCTTCACAGCCCCCCTTCTCCCCCATCCACTCCACAGTTTTCACAAACACTCCGAAACCCTTCAAACACAAAACACAGATTTCCCTGAGTTGTTGAATGAAACACAGATCTGTCATGCAAAACATACTAGAGCCAAAGTTTTAGATGGATATACGGTAGATCGATAGATGGATAGATGGATAAATCAATGCAAAGATAGATGGATAAATAGATAGATGGATAGATGGATAGATTGATAGATAATAGATAGCAAGATATACATTGAGTTAAGGTTTCTGGAAGCAATAGAGAAGCTTAGAGTCTGGTTTCAGCTATGAAATGTGAAATATTATGAACAAAGGTTAAACGGCCGCCAGAATCGCACTCTGAACTATGTTGGTCTCGGCTCGCGCTCCGACTCGAGTTGGCGATGCTCCTGTGAGGTCTGAGGTTGCTGTTTAATGCATTTAAGAAGATGATGTCTTTGTAGATTCCACAGTGTGCCATCTGGAATCGATTCCCCGGTCGATGGTGGTTAGCTTGCAGCCCCTGCAGAAAACAGAATCAGAAGCAAACCGCTTGGACGCGGAAAAGCAGGGATGCGAGAAGGACACGGGAGGAACGATTGCAGCAAAATTGAACATCTAGTTTGTGTGTACCAAATCGTCCTGCCAGATTCTTTGTGAACTGACATACGTTAAGGACCGTACACCATTTTTGCGCATGCTTTGATTGCATAAGCCAGCCAGCGCCCGTGAACCGCACCATACACGAGGCAATCTGCAAATCGTCCGCCCTCTCACAAGTACACAAGACCTTGTCTATCTGATTTGATCGGCTCATAAAATGGCCGGGCATGTGTTGTGAGTTATGCTTCCAGGCCACTCTGGAGCCTTCTATGCAGCCTGTGTTATTGCTGCCGCGTCCTCACAGAGCAGCGCTGTCGCGTTCGCGACAAGTGTAAACGCCCGTCTGCAGACATCTCTCTAGCCACACGGATCAGCGAAGGCGCTCGAGCACCTGCACGAACGTCGAATTGTCCACCGTCCAAGCCTCGATGTTTGGAGATCTCCGAGATCTGTCAGGCCTCCACATGTGATCAGGTGACATCAAACCAGAGAATGCACTGTTGGATGAGCATGGATATGCCAAGGCTTGGGACTCAGGCTTCCGATCTTGCCAGTAGCAGACTGCATTGTTGCTTTTCGCAGGGTTGACATCTGAGTGTTCAGTGAGATGCAGAGGTCTGTGACATGGGTTTCGCGCGTTTTGTGCTCAGCAAGACCAACACCCTGGCCACAAGCTTAGCTAGTTGCAACTTCGTCTGCCGCGTGAATGGATAGATGGCTTTTCTTGAATGTATGCGTTGTGAATGGCTGCTTTCCGGAGGTCGGAACACCTGACTATATGGCACCAGCCGCTCCCTTTACTAGCTTTGGCATGTCGTGCTGTCGTTTTTGCGGGGTGAACTCTGGAACATGTTGGGTGCAATGTCGCGATGCTCAGCCGAGGAAGTCATTGACTTTCCTCATACACACAACAGCAGCGTTGACTGGTGGGCGCTAGGAGTTCTTACTTACGAGATGCCTGTCTGATATTGGTGCAGCATGAACATGCGCATGGCCCCTGACTTGCTTTCGCTGGCTTAAGCCTTGAACGCGCTCTGATCTCAGGATCTTGAGCGGGCACACGCCTTTTACCGATGAAGGCGTTTCAGACCCTATGGAGAGGCTGCTCGCGATCCGGCGCAGCCAGGAAATCATTTAGAATGGCTGTCAGATACGCTGTTTGCATGAATGTGGCAGTTTTACACGCTGACATGCACTGCGGTTAGTCATGTGCGAGGAGCAAGGACCACTTCAATATCCTTTTCACTTCCCACAAGTCGCGAAGGGTTCCTGGCCTTCTCTGTAAGTGGTTTGTGAGAGCCACAGAAGTCTGGTACTAGTTCTGCAAGAGGTTTTGTTGCCCAGCTGCTGCAGATCCGGCGAGCTCCTCAGGGGTGAAAGCTGCGGAAGCAAAAGCGTGCGTGTGAGTCGTGTGACGGACACCCCTTACTTGCCCCGCCCCCGGCACACCGGTGGTCAGTCTATGGGAGGCCACACGAGCGCCTCGGAGCTGGACGAGGCGGAGCCCAGGACGTTCGAGACCACGCCATGTTCAGGACCTCTTCCCCTTTTGGGGAGTCTCTTCGGAGGAGGCTTTTCTGTTTGAGAGCAGAGCATACCGACAGCGTTGAGCCAACTGCAAGGACCCTCGCGTTCGATTTTAGAGCTTTCCACGAGCAGAAGCTCCCGACTCCGTTCCACAAGCAGTGGAGCGGCCTGGCATCCATGTGCTTTACGGGATTTACGGATGTTTTCATACTGCGAGCGAAGAATCAACAGATGAGCACACCTGGGCCGTCTGCTCGTAGATAGGGGGAGTGTCGCTGAGCAGCTTAGAACGACAAACTGTTACGCTGGTTTGGAAATCAATGGGCTGATGCCCATGCGACTGCCCGAAACAGGGCAGGCGACAGCATTCCGTGTCGAGTCAAAGTTTGTCTTTGGATTACGGTCAGGCACGCCTCACAACGCAAGGGTAGAGAACATCGTCCACCCACCGAGTGAGTCTGACCAGGGTTGCTGGAACCCTGAATAAACAGGTTCGGCATTGCGAGTCTTATGTGGCGCGCATGCTACAGCCACAGAGCTACGCTTGACAGAACATATGCTGACGGTATACAGTGCGCAGCGATCCTGCCATAAGCCTCGATCACAAAATGAATAAACTTGCAGTGCTTCCGTAAGTTTTGTCATGAAAGGCTATCCGGAGCACTTCTTCACGGATGACTTTGGGTTAGATCGTGGGCAACTGGGGTTGGACACATCAGACAGAGACCTGGCAACAATATCAGTTTTTTTATCCTTGCCCGCTGCTCCATTCCAGGTTGCTCCTCCTCCTCCTCCTCCTTGCATGTTGTCACTGATGAGAACTGAATGTCGTGTTTCGCTTGCTGCCAACTGGCAACGTTAACCATCTCAACGTTGCAAGGCTTGTTCATCCCATACGATGCAGATCCGGCCGACGACTGGGATGCCAAATTCTGATGGGAGGCACGTAGCAGCTGCATTCTTGATATTTATTGCTGTTAGTGCTCGTCGCAATGCGAAGAGCAGATTCATTTCTTGTACGAGACCGTAAAATTTCTTGCTGATGGTTCAAGATCTTTGGGCTGAGACTGCCGGGAAGACAATGAACGAGGTGTGAATAAAGCTGGATTCGACGGCACCCATGCCATAGTTCTGTGGACCATCATTCCACTGCATCCTGGCACTGCCGCATATCAAGGGTGTGCACGCTTGACGAAGCCAACCTTTGATTTCGTCTTGTGCCTGTTTTCCGGTCCTTTGCAGCTGTAAAGCAGCCCGCAGTTGTGTGAGACCTTAGCGTAGTGGCTGGATGATGCAACTCTCACATTCTGTAGCTTCAGGGCTACGTGTCTTAGTCCGCGGTGCGCAGGCACCATGGTGCACGAAAGTAGGATTCTGGTCTTCTGAAGGTTTCCCGTGTGAGGAAATGAGAAGTCAATGCCACCAGCAGGTTCGTTTCGTGCACCTGACCAATCTCCGGAGCCAGCATCGGTGTCTCCAGACCCACATCAGTTGTCAAAATGATGCCTCGTGTTGCAAGCAGTGCGATCTTGCAGTCAATGGCACTCATTGCGTTAGCTTAGAGTTGCAACGTTGAAAGCTTCCCGAAGCCGTGAGTATGTTAGAATTATTAGAACAACCTGACGTCGGAACATGACATACATCGATCATAAGCTGAGACCGTGGAATTCATCCTTGCGAAGGTTAAAGGTTATCGTCCGAAGCCATGCTGGTGAAGGCAAAGCCCTTCCAGAGGCTGAGAAGGGCCAAGCATTGCGCTTGTCTTTGCTCTATACATGTTCTTGTGGAGTCGGGGTCAGGTGTGCGTCAGGCATGAAGGTTGAGTCAGGATCACGGGCTTCATGACAAGAACCGCCTTTCAGCTGATCCATCAGCAAAGAAAGAAACAGTTATGTCGTGCTGCTTACGGCTTCTTGTTGGTTGGGTGGGAAGGGTTGGTTTCGACATGTTTCGCCACCACACGGTGACAAGGCAGCTGTGGAGGCATCTGCGGCGCTGCAGCGCCTCGCAGGTGACAGTGCGCAGAGCCAGCAAGATTCAGCAAGATGTTTCTGGCAGATGGGTGCAGTGTGTTGTAGTGATCTTTAGCGACTTGCGCTTTCGGCATCTTCTGGCTTCGTGGTCCTCGCAGACTCGACTTATGGAATTTCCTTTGTAAGAACCTGGATGAGCCCGTGCCGCGATAGCTGTTACAATATGATACTGCAGAATATCATAGTGAGATCATAGTATGTTATACCGTACGACATTATACTATGCTTTGCTACTCTGCTACGCTATGATACATTAACTTGCGCTATGTTATGTTATGCTATGTTGCATCTTCTGAGGTTGAACTAGGTTATGCTATGTCATGCTATGTTTTGTAACATTGTAAGAAAAATGCTATAAACTACTTGGGGTAATATTTGGCGATGTTGCTGTCGCTGTCGCTGTCGCTG